TGAAGAAAACGGAATTCTTCACCAGACATCCGCAGCAAGGACACCTCAACAAAATGGTGTAGCTGAAAGAAGGAACAGAACCCTGAAGGAAGCAGTGAGAACCATGCTAGCAGAAGCTTCCTTACCAAAGAGGTTCTGGGCTGAAGCTGTTAACACAGCCTGCTATACTCAAAATAGGAGTATGATTTATAAAAGGCACAACAAAACTCCCTATGAACTGTGGAACGGGAGAAAGCCTAATATATCATATTTCCATATTTTTGGGAGCAAGTGCTTTGTGTTAAACAACGGGAAGAATCATCTGAACACTTTTGATGAAAAATCAGATGAAGCCATCTTCCTTGGATACTCTATGATGAGCAAGGCATTCAGAGTTTTCAACAAAAGAACCATGATCACGGAAGAGTCAATACATGTTATTTTTGATGAAAAACATGTGGTTGACAAGCCGTCAAAGCATGACCATGAGGTTCTGGATCTATCAGACAAGGATGAAGAAGTCAATGAAGGAGATAGAATGAAGCCCACAGAGTTCATTCCATTCAAAAGTCTGCCTCTGAAGACTTCACAGAGAAATCCGGATTTAGACAGTGCTGAGCCCTCCGGAAATTTTGCCCAGCCTTCCAATATTCCGGATCTCTCAAACGGCGATAATTCCGGAAATGGCGACCCAGTGCGAATCCATCCGGAAACACCAACAACTTCTGTTCTTCAACCAGAAGCTGGACTAAATCAACCAGTCAATCCCAATCAACACAATCTTCGTTGGTTAAGGAATCATCCTCCTCAACAGATCATTGGAGATATTCAATCTGGTGTTCGCACAAGGAGTGCCCAACAGAATCTAGAAGCTATGCTTGCTTGTTTCATCTCACAAGTAGAACCAAAGAATATTGAAGAAGCTCTAGCTGATTCTGATTGGATCAATGCAATGCAAGAAGAACTCAACCAGTTTTCCAGAAATGATGTCTGGAAACTTGTTTCCAGACTTACTCATCAACATGTCATTGGGACAAAGTGGGTCTTCCGGAACAAGATGGATGAAAATGGCGTTGTTGTCAGAAACAAGGCCCGGTTAGTTGCAAAAGGATATTGTCAAGAAGAAGGTATAGATTTTGATGAAACCTTCGCTTCAGTTGCTAGACTTGAAGCTATAAGGCTGTTTCAAGCCTTTGCTACTCATAAGGACTTCAAGGTCTATCAAATGGACGTCAAAAGTGCATTTCTCAACGGAAACCTAGAGGAAGAAGTGTATGTGGAACAACCTCCAGGATTTGAGTTACACACTAAGGGAGATCAAGTGTATAGACTCAAAAAGGCGCTGTATGGACTCAAACAAGCACCAAGAGCTTGGTATGATACATTGTCTCAATTTCTTATAGAAAATGGATTTACCAAAGGAGTAATTGACAAGACATTGTTCAAACTACAAGATGGAGAAGATCTCCTATTAGTTCAGATCTATGTGGACGACATCATATTTGGCTCAACTAAGGGAGATCTATGCACCAAGTTCTCAACCCTCATGCAAGGAAAATTTGAGATGAGCATGATGGGGGAACTCAACTACTTCCTTGGCCTTCAAATCAAACAGAGAAGTGAAGGGACTCTCATCAATCAAGCCAAGTATACAAGGGATCTTATCAAGAAGTTTAAAGTTGATCAAAAATCATCCGTTTCTGTCCCCATGAATACATCCACCAAGCTTGATATGGATATAGATGGAAAGGATGTAGATCAAACTCTCTACAGAGGAATTGTCGGATCTCTACTTTACCTTACTGCAAGCCGTCCGGATATCTCATATGTAGTAGGTGTTTGTGCCAGATTCCAGTCTAAGCCAAAGGAAAGTCATCTGATAGCAGCTAAAAGGATTCTTAGATACCTTAAAGGAACTCAGAACATGGGTTTGTGGTATGCTAAGAGCAATTCATTTGAGTTAGTGGGATACTCAGATTCTGACTTTGCCGGATGCAAAGTTGACCGGAAAAGTACATCTGGTACTTGTCAATTCATTGGTGGAAATCTTGTTTCTTGGTTCAGTAAGAAACAAAACTCCATTTCTACATCAACAGCAGAAGCAGAGTACATTGCAGCTGGTAGTTGTTGTGCTCAAGTTTTGTGGCTAAAGCAACAACTACTGGACTATGGA